CCTTTTTTTTTTTTTTTTTTTTTTTTTTTTTAAAATCTCACAAAAAAAAAACTTTCACATATTTGTGCAAAGTTAATGACATTCCAATCAGTTATTGTAACAAAACAAAGAGACAGCAAGTGAAACAATCATGACTAAAAGAATTCAAATTAAGAGGGACTAATTTTGTATCACAATACAGCCTTAAGTTTCAATCTATTTAATAGAACTTAGGATCACTAATGTAATGGAAAAAACAAAACAAAAAAAAACGTGCTATACACAAGAGCTCCACGGGGCAATTCAGTTTCTAATTCTAGATAATTATATAAAGACATTATTTCCAACATTATTAGAACAGCCATTGCAACTCATTAAAATTGTTTTATTTGGTTACTTTCATATATTTTTTCACATTGAAAATTTATTTAGGGGATAAGATAATTTCTTTATATTGTACTTTCAGACGAATTTTGCTGGAAATGAATTACAAATAACGCTTTCCTCTTATTAAGAGTATACAAATAGTTAAATTTTATAAAATTATATATTATCAATGAATAACTTTAGCAAATAAATATTAGTAGTTAAAACTTCTATTTTTAAACTTAGCTCAATATTAAGTATTAAAACACCATTCACACGAGTTTAATAACCAAAATTTATCGTACCACCGTACTTCAGCAATGAAAGCTGTAAGGAAATATTAAGCCTACATGATACAAACTGACATAAAGGCGTGACAGCTCACCATGCTTTAACACGTATCAAGACTTCACCTTCTCCAACAGATGGTTGTGGTTTCTTAACAATCTTTACAGATTTTAAACCACCAAACCCAGTAAGTACAACAGCTTTCATGTCTTTTGGTGCTGTAGTTTGGTTTTCTTCATTTTTCTGTTCGGTTTGGCTTTCAGATGGGTTAGTTTCATCAGACTTTCCACCGGTTCCCTCTTCCGCCATGATTCTGACAATCCCCAACTTCGAGAATCAGATTATGACTAATGTCTACTGTGTTATCAATTATATAGCCTTAGCATAAACCTATGCTTGTGCTGCACTCTAGTTGCATTTAAAACGTGAAGAATATACTAATATCTGAAATAATTATTTGTATTTACATAATAGTATTTTAACAGCAAATTATTACTGAATCAAATTTTAATAACAGTACATGTATGTAAAAAAAGGTAATGGAATCTATCATTAAATAAATTCTACAAGAGCATTTGGACAAGTATTTGATTATCACAGATATTTATGGATTTAGAATCTGAAGGTCATGTCTTGTGAATTAGCTTTATTTCAAAATGTTGCATTTAATCTGGACATGGACAATGCAGTGGATTTGGTGAACTTGGATTGGACTTTCAGAAGGTTTGTGATGAGGTGTCACATAAAAAACTTATTGGAAACACTGCATCTGTAGAAGCAGGAAATAAACTAGTTAAATGTATTGAGAGAAGATTGTTATAACTATACCGAAAAAACAAGGGATTATTAAATTGTTACAAGTAGGAGTAGCACAGGGTTAAGTGCCTAGTCTTTTGCACAGCGGTATATATGCAGAATTACAATGCTAGAAACCGGGTTTTGATACCCGTGGTAGGCAGAGCACAGATAACCCATTGTGTAGCTCTGTGCTTAACTTCAAGCAAACAAAAAACTTTTGCTAGTAATAACAATGATAATAGAATAATGACTAAGGTGTCTAAAATTGCAGATAATGTTCAAATAAAGGGATTTTCAAACTCTAAAATGATGTAGTTTTTGCAAAGAGATCTTTACTGTTTGAGGGGCTTGATTATTATTATAATCTTGTAGAAGATCGAAGCTCTAGGTGAAGGTCACAAGAAAAACGATCTGGGTTTGTTTAGAGTTAAGCACAAAGCTGCACAATGGGTTATCTGTGCTCTGCCCACCACGGGTATTGAAATTCGGTTTCTAGCGTTATAAGCCTTCAGACTTACCGCTATGCCAATGGAAGCGACGACTTGGGAATAGCTTTTACAAAGCTTCTAAAGCCTTTTAGACAGTCAAATTATTTTTGCTAGTAATGTGGTTTTCTCTGGTGATATGATTTCCTCACCAGTATTAGATAGGTCCAGTTAATAAAAGCAGGATCAGAAAGGGCATTTTTATAGTAATCTCAATTTGGAAACTCGACACTGAACCACCGCTTCTATTGGATCAGTGTAGGAGTCGGCATATTTCTTTATCTCAAGACAGATCTCCGTCGAACAAAATATGCTAAAAAAAACAAAACAAGTATAACTCCAGAACTGAGGCTTCGTACTGATAAAGAAACTTCTGTTCCTTTGTGTTACTATAGCATCACCACGTGATTCGTCATTCTCTCACAGTATTCATTGGTTGTAACATACAGACATTATTCACAAGTGCAACGAAGAACGTTGCAGCCCTCTTATCTTTCGATCCTGATGTACGGCAACATTCATTCGGGAAGGGTAGATAATATCCTTTACAGAGAGCAAAGGTTACAAGTACGAAACAATTTCAACGGTTTTCTGGACAAGGGGTTAATTTAAAAACTGCACAGACTAATTGAAAAAATAAATAAAACTTGCTATATTACTAAAAGAAGGTAAAATACATTTGATATACCTGCATATCACAGAAATAAGGCAAACAAGATTTTAAATTGTATACACAGAAACACTGAGTACAAGCAAGAAAGGTCATTAGTCCATTCTATAAAGTGTTGGTTACACCACACTTGAAATATTGTGTTAAGTTTTGGTCACCCTTTTTAATATACGAACAACCTGAAATCTCTTAATATTTTGCATTGGAGAGGGGGAGAGCCTAGGAGATGTGATTTGGAGTTGTTAAAATTGTCAGTGGTAAGACTTAGAATTTATAAATCCAAGTAAGTTTCATTAAACTCTTCAGGTAGCAAGACTAGAAGACACGAAAACACAGATACGGCTCCAGTTAAGGCAGTGTTATTTTTTTAATAAGGTGGCTGGCCTATGAAATAATTTACCTTCAGATGTGGTAAAAGGTGCAAGATTGAAGGAGTTTAAGAAGATATTGAATGATTGTTTTAGAGATCAGGGTTTGATATAAGAAAAGTACTCTCTCTCTCTCTTTATATATATATATATATACACACACATATATATTGGAACAGAAGAGTAGTAGAAAATGTGGCAGCTCAGATGGGTTAAATGATAATTTGTCATGTCTTGAAATGAAATTACCTGATATAATATCGTAATTAACTGAATTAACAAACGGCGACAAAAAATTATTTAAAAAGTATTCCCTCTAGCGGATTCTTTTAGAGATTGAGTTTAGTTCGCATACATATATAATACTCTTTAGCATAGTCTTTGGGCATCCAACTTACTCACAGAGTTACAACAAACTTTCAGACAAAAATGTACAATTACATTGTTTTGTTTAATGGTCAAAAAAGTGTTAACCTTCTAACTAGTTTACAGCAGAAACTATTAAACAATTATTTCTAGTAATCCACTTTTTATCATCAATAAGTTTAGATTCTTGTAACAAATTTTGGCTTTTTTTTACAAATAAACAAGCTAATGGAATCTTCAACCAATATTAATAAGAATGAAGCATAAAACATAATATTTGAATATTTTTTTGTTTGTTGTTAAGCGCAAAGGTACTCACTGGGCTATCGAAACCCTGTTTTTAGTGCTATAATCCTTCAGACCTGTCGCTGAGCCACAAGGAGCTTATTTGAATATACACATTTGATAGCCACGGTATTTTCAGATAATTTTTTACGAACGTTTTTCTTTCCCGAGTGAACAAATATAATATTTATAAATTAATCACGCGAAAAAATAAACCTGATAAAATGAAATCCCTAAATTGCATTTCTGCGCAACTCCGAGTATTTTCAACTGCACACAACAAAATTATTGATTTATTTTTATTTTGATGTCCATCCTACAGTAAAGGTTTATAATTGCTACAAAATAATCATACCTTGAGAATTTAAAGTATCCACATCTTGTTTCTCACGTGATTTTCCTTGTCTTTTATTTGTTTCATTATTACTTCAGCCCTTCATTGCCACCCTTTTGTGATGTCACAACATATGATTTGAACAATTACTAATGAAACTCAACTTTGAAAATAGCTATAGCCCACGCTTAAATACGATCGGATAGTGTATATTTATAAATTATTTACGTCAATATAGAATTAATAAAGCTATGTGATTAATAATTAATGGTTTCTCGAAATATTGACTATCTGGTTCTTATCGGGATAGAAATGCATGATAAAATAACATTAAGTTGAAGTTGCCTTAGTTTTTACATTAAATATCTATAAGTGATACCTACACAGAATACAAGTTAAATAACTAAGCGAGTCGAGTACATTGTATTAAAATGATTTTGGAACCTCACCATGTCGTCACAATTCATGCTGAAACATCTGGTCTTGCTCTATCTATTAACTGTGCATCTTGACAATAGTCCTGCAGCATAGTTTGCATTGTAAAAAGCTGACTTTCTTAATCCATATAGTGCAGGGGTCACCAAACTTTTTTCACAGCGGACCAGATAACTGAGAGAATGACGAGCG